GCCAATGGAAGACAGAAATAAGCATTAATTAATTGTGCAACACAACCCTAAAAGGATCCAATGGTCCTGTCTCACCTCCAATTTTTTTTTATTAAGATTCTCAGATACGACTGAGAATGTCCTATTCCCACTAAAATAAAAGTATTATGGAAGCCCACTAACACTAAGGGGTGATAAGACTGATATTTATAGCCAGCACTTAATGAAACTAGGTGCAAACACTGGGCTCAGGGATTTTCAGAGACTAAGTTGTTTACCCTGACAATAACCCTATCAGGGCAGGTACTATTATTGTAGTGATTTTCCAGATGAGATAGATGAGAAGCAGTTTGCCCACAGTTACACATCAAAGATGGGATGGAGCTATGATTCAATCCATCCTCTCAACCACTATGCTAAATGGTCTGCCCTAAACAGGAAAGATGAACCAGAAAACATTATAAATAGCTTCTACTTCCTTTTTACCCTAGAGGCTCTGCCCCATATCCTTCACACACCGTGCTTGGAGAAGGAAACCAGATGGTAATTTAGTTCTTTGGTTCTGAGGGGCCTGTGGACACTGTGGTTCCCAGGTCACTAGCTAGCTCTGCACTGATCTCCCAGCGACTTGTACAATAAGCTTCTCCTCATACAGCTGCCAGTGTGCTTGGTACTCCCTGAGGAGTAACCAGGACGAGGTTATCATTACAGTCGTAGAGCTGACGCTCCCACTAGATCAATTTTATTCCTGAAGTACCAAAACATCAGTTATGATAATAAACAACAGTGATTACATGTGCATTGCAGCAGTTGCAAAGACAAGTTTGTGAAAACATTTCCTCGTAAACACCTTATGTATCTGAGCTAGCTGAGGTGCCTGTGCTCGGGTCTTGATAGTGTTTCACGGGTATACAGTGACATCTCAGAATTCAGAAGGAGGCTCCTCTGTGTCTTTTTGCCACTTCCATTAAAGGGGAAAGGCTCCAACATCATCAAAAGACTCTAGATTAAGGGCAAAGCTTGTGATCTTTAAGAGCCTCAGTGGGTCAATCAATAAAATCGGAGTTAATTATACTTACTACCTTATTAAATTTTTGAGACAAACCATAAAGGTGCTCACAATACCAGAAACACAGTAAATACTTTCAAAATGAATGTTATTTAGTGACCCCCAAGAAGCATAATTGGTGCTAATTATGAACACACTGTTGGCCAGATTGTATTTCTAGGTATACCGGTTTTGTTTTGGTTGCCTGTTTTTAAAAGATGACTTTTAAATTAAGTTGGTAAATAGGTAAGTAGACCCGCAGATTATAAACAACCTTCCTAAATTTTCAATTTTATTTTAAGGGAAATAAAATTAGTGGACTTCACATGATAGCATTTGTAAAAAGAACTTTTTTTCTTTTATGAAAATAGTAATACAAATTGATGATATAAAATATAGAAAAGCAAAAAAAAAATTTAGTTGCTTATTATCCTTTTACTTATCTGTACAAACAAATAAATACTTCTATAAATAGATGTAGTATAATTTACATATTCGTTAAATAGGATGTCATAGAAGAACCATTAATTACTTGGGAAAATATCCATTAAATATTATTAAATTATTCAATTTTAAAAGAAATGTTCTGTGAGATTTCATTTATAAAACAGTTCTTGGGGCCAGCAGGTGGCATGGTGCTTACGGGCACTGGACACCTATATGGCCAACTGCAGTTAGAGTCCCAGACCAGGTGGCTTGAAAAACATGCTGGTCACATGTGTGTACATGTGCCCCAAATACCAAGAGGAGAATAAGGGAGAAGAAATTGCGATGTGGCCATCCCACTGGTGGCATGTGTGTGTATGTACTCTCTAGTGAGCATATGTACCCTGTAGCAAAAATTATGAAAAAGTTTTAAAAAATGTAACAGCGACATATTTTTTTTTTTCAAAACTGAAAAATGACTTTAATCCTTGACCCATATGTTAAAAGGGAATCCCTTCTGAGTCGGTAGCTCCTGGAGGGCTGTGATGGTGTCATAAGTCAGTGTCTGCAGGGGGACATGAAGCTGCACCAGAGGGAAAATTGACCCTATTATAATACTTACTGGCACACTCACTAGCACACACAGGCCAACTGATGTTCTCTAGTAGATGACAGACTCTGCACACTGATCTACATTGGGACACATCAAGAGGAAGTAATAAACAGGTAAGGACACCCACATTGGGCAGAGACACAGTAGAATGGCTTCCTTAGTGCAGGCCTACAGGGAGAACCTGCCACAGGACAAAGACTACAAATGAAATACTGTCTTCAACAATCATCAAAAGTCAATGAGCCTCAATACAGATCTATGGTCTCTCTTGCTTGCTCTGTCCCAATCTGGTCAAATTAAAATAAATAGATAAATAATAAAATAGTTCTTTAAAAAAATATGCAGCTCTTACACAGATATTTTGGTTTTGCTAATAGCCTATGAAAAATGTTACCCTACAAACTTGTCTAACATGCATTGTTGATAGTGTATAAATGAAATGGAGCATTTTATTATATCTATTACATTATATATTCAAGCTTATGTACTCAATATTTTAGGCACTTTTTAATGAGTTAAATCAACTTAGGGATATATGTGTTTAAAATTTAATTTTCCTAATAACTAATTTAATCATAAGATACTGTGAATAAAATGGCCCAATTCATAGCTCTCCCTATTTAAAAAAAAAAAAAATCAATGGGAAAAAAAAACCCTTAAGTCATCAGGAAGGTGTTATCAGCTACAAATATAGCTTGTCATTATGAAGTGCTATATCCGGCTAAGTCATTCGGTACCTGCATACATGATGCTCGTGAATGCGTGTTCATACTTGGGCACTCGCTCTCTGCCCTGTTTTGGTCTTCAAACTTATAAAATCCCTGCAAAAAGACAAGCAAAAACAGCTCATGGTTTGGAACTGCAAATGACTTTTTGAAAACACGTTCATACGAGGCTAAGGCCACAGCAGTAAGAAGAACTAATAAGCTTTCAAACTTGGTGGAATCTGACCAAGTTGCAAAATAATGAAGGAAGAATTGTCAAATCAGCTAGCTAGATGCATGACAGACAGAGACAGAGGAAAGTCAGGTGGTCGATTTGGACTCAGAGGAAAAGATGTAGTCCCTCTGGAAGTTAAAATCAACCAAACGTCAGAAAAATCGCCCCCTGAACTCACATCAGCATTTTGGAGTACAATAAAACCCCTCTGAAATGAGGCTCATCGTCTCGAAATTTGGAAATAACAGGCAGGAAATCACGACTCTCCTCTCATACATTTCGATGCCCCCAAGTTTTGATGTGACAATTAGTTCAAAGGTATGTTTGACTCTTGTTTCCAAGCCAGTTTTTATAAAAGCTGGTTTACTGGACAGCAGCAATTTTATTAAGAAATGGAATGTATCGGCAATTAAACTTTTGCTCGTCTGCTAAATTTTCATGCACTATATCATTTCAATCTATCTGCACACACTTCGTGCATTTTTTTTTTCCAACTCTGGGAGAAATAAAAATAATATTCCAGACATTCACAACAAGCGGAACTTCTAAACCGCCTGTCCCACACCTTTTCTATTTTTGCTTTTCCTTTTCCACCTCCCCTTCTCCTCTCTCTGCATTTTCACTGCTTCATAAACTGAAAGGCATGGAAGAGAAGGGGGACTCAGCGAACAAGGGAGAAATAAGAGGCCCACTTAGAGTGGGCCAGGTCTCCCATCATGTGTCATAAGCCCAATAACCCAGTGACGGTGACAGGAGGTTGGGATGCTGGAGTGACGTAGGTAAACTGAGGGCAGAGGCTGGTGAATGTGGCCACGCGGACAAACTGGAGTTCATAGTTAAGTGCGGGAATGATACCCAACAGACAGTTATTCATAAGAAAACAGGAGAGGAGAGGAGAAAGGAATTACCTCTTTTTCACAGTTGGAGTTAAGTGTAAGCATGGCCATAGGACTGTTGGGCGCGCTGCTTCCTGGCACCGGTGGCAGGACATGATCGCCAGGCTGGTTTGGACATGGCAAGCTCAGGACTTGGTTGGCATGTTTATTTGCTAAAGTGGTAGAAAGGTACTGCTTTACCTGCTGCCTCTGGGCTTGCTGTATGTGGTACTTGGTGGGGTTTTCGAGGTGGGTCTGCACCTGAACATAGCCATGGGGGGAAGAGAAGACAGCGTTGTTATTTCTGAGTTTCCAGCAGATCTTCTTTTAGGTACAAATGTGAGACTGACCGGTCCCCCAACAGAATAAATGATTAAGCCTCGGTTATGTACCAGGCACTGTGCTAACGGATTTTGATTTTATTGAAGTTTAAAGTCTAACTTGCAGGATTTAGGGTAATACCTTGCCCTATTTTATTTTCCTGCTAATTAACTATACATCTCTTGCAAACCTTGGACCCTTCTTCTCATGTCTTAATAATTAAAAGTTTGCAACTATCTGTAGGGCAAAATTTTCCCCCAACACACTTGAAAGGGTTTATTAAGATCAAAACAACAATTTATAAAGAGCATAACTCAGTTTATTTCACTTTCCTTGGCAAACAGAACAGCTTTCTGTTAAAAAAAAGAAGAGGAAAAAAACTCCTTAAGAACCAACTGTAAAATGGTTGTAGAAAGTAAACAAAACATTCCAATGATTAAGTCAACTCGTTGTGGATTAATTCCTCTCACTTTCATTTGGACATGATTATTCAAGATTTAATTAAGAAAGAACTCAAGGTAAAAAGCAATTACGCATTAAGCCTCTTCTTTTGAATACATAACACTTACATGCATGTGTTTTTAATGGCATGACCATGAGCTAGCTATTGGGATTTTTTTTTCCTCTTTTCCGATAAACATTAATACTGAAATAGAAATGCTTCTCTCTTTTTTAAAAAAAAACCAACAACATTCACTTTCGAGTCACTTTTGTACTGATAATACAATTCAATCTTAGGAGCTATGAACAGAAGCTGACGGAGAGAGTACAGTCACACACTATGGAAGAAAATATTCTAATATTTACCTTGCTCAAATATACTCAGAATTACTTCTTATAGCATCAGACAATAAGCAGCACTAAAAGAGTACATTTATAGTTATGGAAAACAGTGTGCCTATCACAATCACAGCCGGAAGATGACTTAGTCAATTTACTGCATTATATTTCAGAATACGAGTAAGAATAAAGCTCACCTGATAGTGATTATATTCTAGCATTTCCAGCATAACAACGTTTTAGGTGGCCCCAGTCCAACGAGAAACGGTAGACTATCCCTCCCTCTACTTTCTCTAATTCCAGTTCGAAGACTGCCTGGCATAGAGAAGGCACTCACTATAAACAAGGTATCCCGAGACACCACCGGAAACTTTATCACAGCAGCCCTGCTTATAATAACCTAAGCTAATTAGTTATGCATGTAAAAAAAACCCGCTGACACAAGGGGCTTTTTTTGGGAAGCCCTACCAATTTGGTCTTAAATATTGATATCAATTTTTCCCCCTGGCTTGACGTCATGCTTTTTTTCATAAATATAAAAGAACCTTTTTAAGTGATGAGCTATCAAAGTCAAACTCACTGTCAGATCAAGGCCAATTCACTATTCATCTTTAGTTCCAGTAGTATTAATAGACAATGGCATTTCTCTTTCAGCAATAGGTTAAGAGCTGGATGCCCCCTTCAGAGGAGGCATTGCCTAAAAGCTAGTATACAAATGAGATTTTTCTAATGGTCAAATAACTCTCCCACTTCCGACTAAAGGAAGACCATCTTACAGTAGGATGCAAAAGACTCTATGCTGAACTTTCAAGTCCAACAGCCTCATCCTTCATTCTGGTCTCAATGTGCACCTTATTATTTTTTGCTGGGTAGATGTGTAACTTGTCTACTGACCTCACATCAGGAAGCAGGGAGTTAACTAAACCGAATGTAAAACATACACACACTCCCACATAGACACAGAGCTGGATGTACATTTATGTGCAAATTAAATAAATGTTTCCCCAACTTAACTCTCCTATTAGAAAGTATGGAAACTTTTACTGAAAATCTCTTAATATCAATTTTGGGGCTAGAGAAGAATGACTTACCATAAATACTGATGCATCTACATATGTTTTTGTTTATTCATGCCATTATTAACTTAGCACGTACTCAACGCTATATAAACCACAGAATATACATTATGAACAAACACAAAAAAGGTATGATAACTAGCTTTAAGAAAGTTTTAGTCTGAGGTGAAACAAATGAAAGAAAAGTGGCAAATAAATATCTAACAATCATGGCCAATACTTGATATTCTCTACTGACACAGGGAGATGCATTTTAAGCATAGACATTTGAAATTCAATAATTTTGTATAAGTACCCAGGATAATAAAGTCCTTAAATCTAGAATTGCTTTAAATGACTGATGTAACATGCACACAGAGGTTCACAGAGACTTTTTAAGTTTCATAAAGGGTCCAGACACGATAATGATGAGGACAATAGACATTACTAAAATAAACATCGAATGAGGGCAATGAGTGTAATGTGCTTATTTCACTATTACACTTAAAAAAGAAAGGGCTGCACATTTAAAAATAAATGTTAATTCACTGGCAGATCCTTATTCTTTAATGAATCAGAATTTTATGCTTCAGTAAGGAAAGAACCAACCTGCCCTCTATTTGGTACTATCAGTAAGGTCTTTACTACATCCAGGCCTAAGTATGCAAAATGGGATGTATTTTGCTTGTTTACCATAAATGTCTCTTTAGTTTTCAAGTAAGCTGAAAGCAGTTGGCCTATAAAGACTACGGGGTAAACAGAACATCTCCAGTTATTTTCAACCCTAGCACCTCAAACAGGTCACATAGTAAGGAACATGAGCTACAGAGTGAGGTAATATGGAGTGGTGAGGTCTGCAGCAAACTAGAACATGTAACCCTTCTAACAGAAGTGACAGATATAACCTGTAGCTGATTGTGGCCATCTGGGAATACCAGTCCTCTTGCTAAATATCTTAATTTTTCAAGGATAGCTGGAAATCTGAACTTCTCTATCAAGTGAAATTCTCTAAGTTAAAAGAAAAGTTGACAACTTTTTTTTTTTTTTTCACATAGTACAAGACAAATTAAACACAGTTGTGAGCTGGACTCTGCCCACAAACCACTAGAATGTGATCTCTGTTTTACACTGTCCATGAGGATAATGTTCATATTTATATTCTGTGGGGGATAGCCTAGGTTCCCAGGAGAAGTCCTTATTCTAACGTGTTTATATCCAAATCCAGGTGCTTCCTGGTGCTTCTATGAGAGACGACATGTTTAATAAGTCGTCAGGATATTAACTCAAAGCTTGGGTTCAAATTTTAGCTTTGCAATTTACTAGTCATGTAACCATTAATTTCTTCAGGCCTTTCTCCTGTCATCAGTGGAGATGATTGAGAAGATGTTGAATGAAGAGCATGCCTCACAGGGGTGTTTTCAGCATTAAATGAGATCACTCCTCTAGTGGCTTAACAAAATATCACAATCAGTAGTTCTCAAACTTTCGTCTCTAAGAGTACTTTTAAATTCCTCAAATGCATTATGTTCATGTCCATTATATCTGTCAATATTTACTATCTTAATGAGATTATACACTAAGTATATATCTCACTGAGAGTCAGGGTAAGGACATCTGAAAGCATCATGGAGCCTTTAAAAACCTCTACTGTATACTGCTGACAGGCGAGTGGAAACAGAAAAAAACATCTTAGTATTATTCTGATAATAGTATGACCTGGAAGAACCCTTGCAGGGTCTTGGCGACCACAAGGGCTCTCAGATCACACTTTAAGAACTGATTATCTATAATATTATTAGGTCATTGGAAAAGTCATGACGTATTTTTCTATGCAAAAATGTGTCATGACTTGCCCGATGACCCAACAGAAAATGGTTCATTTCTCAGTCTCCACGGTGGTCTCTGTGTTTCAGTGTGTCTTGCCTCCTCCATTCAGAAGATGCTGGAGAAAGATATTAAGTGTGTCCTATTCTCATATAAGAAGCTTTACCATCTCTCTGACAATTTAAAAAGTCATATAAATAGAATTTTCTGTCTTTAACCATCTTAATACATAGCTTTTTACTTAATAATGTCACTTACATTTATTTTTAAATAGTCACTCAAACATGGAGGCAAAGGAGAACATACATGCATCACTTAAGGGGATAGAAACATCATCATCATTTCCTGATCATTTTTGCATACGTTTGACCTTTCAGCCAACTCTCTACATAAAGGATACAGATAGTTAATGTTGAGCTTTGCTAAATATTTGGAGCACAGATCACGAAATCAAGTCAGGATGCTTTACAGTCTATCACAATAGTATTTATTGGTACAACTTATATTTCATATAAACTATGCTAGCTATCTGAGTTACAGTACAAAAATCCAAAGGCTTCGAAATGTTTTTTCCTTGTTATACTCCTATCTTTTGGCCTTTTTTACTCTCCTCATTCAGATCTTGACTCGATAGCAGAAGAATTGGAAAAGATCACCTCCTTACTGTCACACTTTAGCTTTGCTACTTCTGGATGACACTGACAGGTTATTTTTCATCAGTTTCATTCTAAACAGATCCTGAAGCTTACTACATGTCAGTGTAAGATGCTGGCTACAAATACTACTATCTTGGCTGACAAGAGAATTTACTAGGGGGAAAAATAACCATCCTATCTGGATGTTCACTGTTCTACTCCCTCTACTAACTATAAACAATTTAAACAAAATCCAAGATTCCCAGGGCCAGCAGGTAGGCGGTGGTTAAAGCTCTGGACTCCCACAAGGTCAACAGCCTGAGTTCCAGACTCAGTGGCTTGAAAACATGCCAGGTCTGTGTGCATGCATGCCCCAAATCTCAAGAGGAGAATGGAGAAGGAGGGATTGCTGCATGGCCATCTGAACTAAATTATTTTCCTTATTGTTCTTTTAGGTAGCTGAATATCGTTCAAAGGAAGACAGATACAATGTTTCCTGAAGATACTGAGGTGCTGCATGATGCAGAAATGCTAATTATAAGGTAAATACCCAATGAACATTTTCATATCTTCAAACAGGAAGTAATTGCTATAAAAATTAAAAGTTATAGATTCTGGGGCCAAAAGGTGGTGTGGTGGTTAAGGC